TATTGAATCAGGTGCATAAACGACGGCCAAACTGGCTCACGGGCCAACAACCTGGACTGGCATTGATCATTGTTTGTCAAGGCCAGCTGCATCACGTAATTGAACGAGCAATAAGAAGTGATGGACACAAGTGGGCGTAGCGAGAGTGTTGCTGTGATCGTGCCAACCGATAGTTCCGTTGACTATCATTTGTGTTTTTAGGTTAGATATGATACAGACAGAATAAAAAAATACACTGGATAAAGCAACAACAACATGTGTTGCAGGTATATACAGAAAATGAAGAAATTTCAGGGTGCTAAGGGGTATTTGTGCCGGTTTTTCTAACTTCAAAAAACCTTTCTAGTCGATATTGCTTCACTTGAACGAAACTCTGAATGACTTCACAAAGACCTTTCGGCTCTCTTGAACTGAGGTGTTAAGTTAATTTTCCTGTGTAGTGAAGCTTTGTTAGCTGTGTAATATTCCATCGGTGCTGAGGAATCCTCCTGTTCTACTTGAGGACTGTCATGACTGATGTGATACTAGTAGAAATCGCTGTGCATGGCAAAAAGACAAGAAGTGAGAAGCGAGAATAATTTCAGGTGTCTTTACATATACAATTTCATATCGTAGTACAGCGAAATACAGGGAAGCGAACATCACTGATCTCTGTCAAACTCGCAATGCATATGCATTGGGGTTTGATGGACGGGTACTGTTAGGGTGTCCATCCACTAATTAGGAGAACAATTAGGGTTCTCAACCATAGCCTTCAAGAACCTAACCGCAAGGCAGCGGGTGAAGCGAAGTGGTGGCCCATTTACTTGGATCAATTATTCCTCCTCCATTTTTACAGACTGAAACGCAAATTCTTGTCGAACACCAAACCTGGAGGACTGGGAGACTGAGTCCCGTCCGGTCTCTATCCTTCGAACTTCCAGGCATGATTAGATCTTTGGCTTGAAAAAGGCCATCCTGTGTAGCTTGTTGAATCAGGGTGGTGTACAAGCAATCACACCATGTCATGGTGCAGTCTTGTCCTGATGGGTTATGTGTCGATAACCCTCAGATACACGCAATAACTTCGGCAATAAGAATCATTTTAATTCCCTTTATTTAAGGAACAAAAAGGTACAATAATTATTCAGGAGGGAGACAGAGATCAGGCAGCATGAAGAAGAGCGATGCTTCACAAATTATCAGGGTTCGTTTCTCGTTTTAGGGTAATCCATGACAGTTGAGTTTAACCATTTTATTCTGGGCCAATACACCTTGAGGACATAAACTTTGCAGATTGGTGACATGCCTCCAAGTTCAATCAAGAAAAGCTCTCAAAAGTGGCCAGTTTTCTGCGTTTCTTGGTGAGCTATTCATTCTGCATCAAACTCGTAACATCCCTTCAGACAGTTCATGGTAAGTCACAACCTGAATAGCGATTAGAATTAGGGTTATAACGTTGGATAGAGAAAGATGGATCTAATTCTACGTTAAAAACGGAAAGCTTACGGTAATTTCCCAGTAATATGTATCTCTCCATTTATTTTCGGGAATGAACAGAACCTCATTCTAGGATTAGACGACATTATCGATTTTGTGTGGTAGGAATTGAGAGAGAGGAGGGTGAACAAACCCCAGATAATTGGTGTTGACCCCTTCTGTTTATTAAACCAGTATCGCCACGATGCTCTTCATTGATGTTATATCCCAGTCACTTTCTATCCGGTATATAGAGTGATTTTCAACCTGGTAAGAATTCCGACAACCACATCTTCATGGGTTTTTAAACTCGTAAACATTTACACGCATTTCATGGGCAAGTCATTTCTATTCTACTTGAAACAAATGCGGCTTTTAACTTGATGGAACCCTGGACCTCACAGGTGGAATGCAAGCATACTAACCACTCGACCACCGAGTAGCTGATAGAATCGTTTTTCATCTTACCTTTACACGATTAAAAATCAGGTTGATGGATTCCCGCTACTGATGAGACCCACCCAGGTCGAAACAGATGTACAGTGCTTCCCAGCTTTTCAGTTAGAGCTTTGTTTAGCCAATACACGACGAAATCCATCATGTAAATACTAAATTGTTTCACGTTATAGTGATTGAGGAGATTCAATAAATGTTGATATCTCGCAGTATTTTTCTTCTATTTGTTAGGCTGAATTAGATAAAAAGGAACCAGTGTTTTAAATGCCACGTTATGTATGCATATATATATTTATATATGTATATTCAGTTAAGTTTTCACAACCATTAACCGTGGACTTTCGTGCGCGGGTTTCGGTTGCTGTCTTTTGGCTGCCCATTTGGATAAAAGAGCAGAATGAAGGTTGGAATGTTGAGAGTAGATTCAAAGGGAGGATATAGGAGAATTTAAATAGACTAAGGTTGCAAGAATAATGAGTAGATGTATGGGCGCCTCTGCGATACCCAGCCATATCGCTCAGTGTCTCTAGCCATCGGTGGTCATGATCTCGGTGTCCTCAGCCAGGGAGCCTAACGAGACCTAATTGACCCGGTCTAATGGTTAGAGTTTTCATACCCTCATGTCAGATCTCCGTTTGAACTTCTTCCAAACGCTACCTCCTTCGGCAAACATCGCTCGCCGTCGCAACCTATCGTGTCACATGCGTAACACCTGCTCCAGTGGGCGACCGCGTTTATCTGAAACGCACAAAGATAATCAATAGCGGACTCATTTCAATGTTAGACCTGATTCTACGCCTGAAACCACAAAAGACTTTATGTGTATAGCACAAATGAATTGGAACTGACGAGAATTACTTAGCCGGGATTCTTTTGAACTTGACAAATATCACAACTCCTACAGATTCATACATGAATTCCTAGTCCGTGAGCTTTTAAAGTAAAATATATTATTCTCTGATATCGTGAAATTATTCAAAGTATATTGCAAAAGGAATTAGCAAAATTAAATCATTCGGTGATGGGATAATTATTCAGGCAAGTAACACAATCTGAACAGCAGAATAAACTGTTTGCTGTTTTGTCCAGCTAACCGAAATACCAGTTTGGGAGAGGAAGTGTAAGCTGGGTGGGTGAGTGGGTGGGCGACACGAAACGGATATGTTCACATAAGACGATCACTCACTTCGCATTGATCGGGTGATTTACCATTTCCATTCATCCACATGGTAGCAAATCGCTGCAATCGTTTAATCGTGTAAGGCGAACGCCACACAGCCGACTGACTTCGGGTTTTAGAGAATTTCATCAGCTGATTTCTGGCCTCTTGCAATAAGCAATCTTTTCCGACTGGAAGCATTTCAAATTTGCGTGGAACTTTCTCATGTCGTGGTAGGGTGGCCATTGTTTGTCGTCTGATATTTTGTGCCTTTTTAAACGGTAGATTTTGTTGCAAACTTCGTACGGGTTCTACACATGTCTCGGGTAGTCTGTAACGTTGTCGACTGTATGCATTGTTCTGTATCATGCTTGGCAAAGTTTTCCGTGCAGCCAGACAACTAGAATTCACGGGCCAACCTTCACTTTGTCTTCGATGCATGTGTGATGAATTTGGGATTAATGAGTGTGAGTCCCGACGTGAACAGGTGTGCCGATGTCGTTTATTCATACCAGAAATTCTTTCTAATTCACAATGAATCGGTCGTGTGGATAGGCTTTCTGTGGTGGTTGTACTACGTTCGGCTCGATGAAATTCGGAGTCTTGTCTCCGTCGGCCCTCACGGGGTTGTCTAGCTGACGATCTTAGTCCACGTGAGTGAGATAATTCGCTTTTGTGAATGACAACAGAGCTATGATGACCGTTGTGTTTAGGAGTGGACAACTTCTGAGAAAAATGATTCATTTTGTCCCGTTGCTTTCGCTGTTGATACGCGTCACTGGAACCACCCAGACCACGTGATTCTAAATTTTGGATACTCAGATCACTTTTCACTTGAACTGAATGCGGATCTTCATGACGCCATTCTGAATCATTTGGATCTAGTGGGCTGAAAATTTGTTCTGGTATTTCCGTTAAATCTTTTGGAACTACAAGATAATATTGTTTATTTTTACTCAGCCATTCAGTGACTTTCTGTTCGGACAATGCGCGATATCCTCGTTGATCGCGAAACAGTAATTTCAAACGGTCCGGTTGGTTGTGTTCACGTGCATTGGTATTTGTCGCCTCATTATTATGCTGTTGCTGTTGTGTTTGTTGCTGCGGCTGTTGTTGTTGTTGTAGTTGTTGGTGCGACTGATCCTCTTTAGTTGTGGTTTTATATGCGCTTCCTAGATCACCTGCAGTTTGTGTATTGGAGGCTTCGGATTTGTGCCCAGTCGAGGAGACTTGTGAACCCATTTCCAGTAGCCACCAATTTTTGGGCATTTGTTGGTCACTGTTTTGTCTTCCAGTGGCTAGAATACATAATTGGCATTTAATTCCACACTTTGGCGTCCTTGGCTAGGCCAAACGGCTGTGAGTGGCCTGGTCTGACCGGGACAAGTCCTTCCAGCAATCGATCTGAAGACATGAGGGATTTGAAACAGACCGCGTGATGAGATCACGTGCACCGTTATAGTGTTACCAGTTTTGGTCAAAAGAATTTATTTATGTGCTAATTACGATGCATTACGGATATGCGGAAATGATTTTTTGAGACATTACGCTGAACGATTACTTTAAACGGGAGTTTCCCAACACTTTTTGGTGAATTTGACTGTGATTTCATTTGTGATATAACTTCGACTCAGGTGACCAGGAATCACAGATGGAAGTGATATGATGAGTTGAATAAACGCGGCGACCAACACATTTCTCACCTTTCACTACCGGGTGGCTTTCAATGCCAGTCCGGTGCGCTGAGTTCCGTTTTCGAATGGAACTGCGCATTTGTGCTTTGTAGGCACCATTCGAATTTTGCGTATCAAACGCTTGTGAAATTGAAGCTAAATCAATCTGTTTCAAATATGGTGTTTTATCTGTTTGTAGTGCGTCCAATTCACTAAAAGGCATGCAACCAAATGATGTCTGTGAAAACTGTTAACCGTATTAAAAATCAGATTTGATAATTTCTAAGCATTCTATTAGTTGCTTAAGGTGATAATCATTTGGGAACCAATAAGACAATTATTCCTAGAGTGAAAACGTATTTTGGCTTTTACATGTAACCCTGG